CCATTTCGTTCTATACCTCCGTTAAATGGATCATTAGAGGGCATTTATTTTAGCGCGAGGTTCGATTCTATCTTAAAACTTAACATATGTTTCCTGTTTACCCACCGAAATCTATATCTATACTAGTTTCGTCACCACCATTCAGCTTAAGGCAAATTTTAGCCGTTTAAAGTTCCTGTAATTGGAAACCGGCGGAAATAAATCGGAATTAAAACAAAAAAAGGCAAACTAACGTTTACGAGTGTGAAACTAATCCAAGTTAATCCACATACAGTTAATCCCGCTATTGAATCGAAGTTTCCGAAACTCTGCAATCACAACATCGACCCGAACTTTCATTCCACCCTCAGGCGCAGTTTGATCAACTTCTCTACAGTCATTTGTTCGACACGGGTGCCAACAAATCTAGTCGCGGTGGCTTTGTCCCGAAACGTGTTAAATTGACGTCGTTTTGAAAACTTTACGTTTCGATTTCGCTCCAACCCGAACGAGTTTTAAAAGACAGAAGTCGTAACGTAGCGCAATACCATCGCAGTGAATCTAAAGAAAGGGAAAGAAAGTAATACTATCAGATATCACTTGTAAAATGGCCTTCCGCGTTGCTGAAATGAGATCTTTTGTTGCCGGCAGGTGAATAGGGCCACGACATGTTAAAATCTGTAAATGAAACTTATCGGAATCGCAAAAGTTTGCTGGTTTGAGGTCGTTAATGCTTTTAGGGATTGCTGAAGCTTTGAATTTCGATCGAAATTGCTTCCACTATAAGAGCTTTTTTACGATTTAACATTTATGAGTGAAACCGAGTTTCCGTTGACGTTCCGCAACTTCATATGGGATTGAAAAGTATACCTCCCATGCCAAATATCTTATCTTTCACGTGACTATAAGAGAAACATCCCATTTTTGACAATAATTGTATTTAACAAAGGTGGTAATTATCAATATGGACGACTCGTGAAATTGGGGCTTTCACAGTTGCACTAATCCCTAAGGGCGAACGCTTATTGCACTTCAGCGATGACAGACAAATCTTGACAGTTTTCTACCCGAATAAACACCATATTTCGAATGATATCTAATTCCAAAGATGTTTGGTCGTTTACATGGCACAATCTATGCAATTGTAATTCTATACTTGTCCTTTAATATTGTGGAGATTTTTACAATCCCGGCATTAAGAAGACGTGGGTCTTCCGATGTCCTCATTGACCGTGTTCATGTATGTGACTAATACCTGTCGACTTTTTTAAACTCTTATTATTAAACTCCGTTCGAGTGGAAACTCTACTTTTATTTAATCGCCTGGTTATTTAAACGCCTTTCATATTTAAATTTGTATCCGAAATATTTCAATTTTTCGATTCACTTTATACTTCAGTAACTTTATACGGTTTTATGATTCCCTTTGAAAGGAAACAAACACCGCAATTGTTTGGATTATATTCTTCGAGAGGCTGTTGATTACTCCACCTGAGAAGTACATAGACCTGCTAGCGTTACATTGCAGTCTGATTTGAATCATAAGGAACACAATAGGGGCCTAAATTATCCTCTGCGATAAAGCCAAAGTTGTGTAGTTACGCGGGTTACGCCATTGGTGGGAGAAATCAAGTATAGGTACTAGCAAATTTTTGAATAAAGCTCTAGAGAGAGTCGGCGCGAAATGATTCAGAAGAGTACTACTGGAGTCGCACTTAATGGAAGAAGGTGTGTTACTTTCGGATTTTTAAAGAGACACTTTTGTATTTTTAATGTTAATTTTTTTCTTGTGGCGGCTCCAGATTGATGTTTTAAAAATGAGAAGCTAAAGATTAACCTGAGAAGTCCCTAAAAAATATTTTTAAAGGCAATTGAAACTCTCTGCGGAGGACTATAAATGCCTTGCGTCCTGCGGGCCTTTTTCCACAGCTTTATAACGCTACCAACCAGAACTACTTACGCCCCATTTTCAGACCCAAGGTTCCGCTGAGTTTTCTAGATTTTTTCAAATACAACTTTACAGGGTGTATCTTTTCTAGAGATAATTTGGTAGAGCTTTCTCGACTTCACTACCATTCTTGATATTAGAAAGCTCTAGTAAAAATCTTAGAAGTTTCTGAACTGGACAGACTGGGCGAACTTTTACCCAAAGATTTGTGAACATTTTCCAAATCGTTCAACGGGCTACCAAGAGAATCTAATGATTTCCAGAACCTTTTAGATACTATAAGGATGCAAAAATGGATTCAACAAAACACGTTTTTTCACAACTATGGAGTTTAGTAAAGTCGAAAAAAATGGCCCAGTCATTAGCCATCAACATGTGTGTAAGAAACCACCCCTACCCGGAGTTCTAGGGGCAAATTAGCGTAACGCCACTTCGAAATTTTTAGAGGAGGTGTTAAAGAGCATATTTGCTTTCATAGCTTTTTGTCTTTTTGCGTCATTTTCTGAATTCTGGCGTTTTCTGTGAATTTTGCGAACACTTAGTTTTTTTTTAAATGTGTGAGTTTGAAATTTTGTGTACAGGTAATTCTGTTGATATTTTTCCCTTGGACTCATATCGTAATGCCCCTAACAATTATATTTGGGTTAGGGTTGTATACAAATGTCCAAAAAGATTTCCCAAGTACTACGTACTGAAACTGATGTATTGAAAAACAGGTTTGCAATGGTACGAAGGGAAATCTGCCAAATTAACCTCTCCATCCCATAGCGCTAAAATCACAACCCCTAAACCCCTAAACCAATTAATTTTTAATAAAAAAGGCTAACCTCTCACATATTATATTTTTAGCGCATTTTTGCATATTTATTTGTAAAAAGGTAGGTTTTAATCTCACTTTGGATTCTACGCACCAAAATTAATAATAAGAAAAAGTGTTTTCCTGAGAAATTTTGGTGTAGTCGATTTTTGGTAAAAAAAGGAAGGTTATACACTGCCTTTTTTTGAGGCCCGCAAAAAAAATTTCTCAGATCGACCCGGAAAAAAATTTTCTTATAGAATGTGGCCTGTAGAATCCATAATTTCAAACAGTTCCAAGATTGGGCTACTAGTTCAAAAGGTACAGCCCTTTGAATTTTTTTTCGAAATTGGTTTCTAGTCTATAACTTTTGATTGAGAAGTCTGATCGAAAAAGTACGAATTGATTTGGATTCTACGCACCCAAATTAATAAGAAAAAGTGTTTTCCCGAGAAATTTTGGTGTAGTCGATTTTTGGTAAAAAAGGAAGGTTATACACTGCCTTTTTTGAGCCCCGAAAATAAATTGTCTCAGATCGACCCGAAAAAAATTTTTCTTATAGAATGTGACCTGTAGAATCCATAATTTCAAACAGTTCCAAGATTGGGCTACTACTTCAAAAGTTACAGCCCTTTGAATTTTCTTTCGAAATTGGTTTCTAGTCTATAACTTTTGATTGAGAAGTCTGATCGAAAAAGTACGAATTGTTTTGGATTCTACGCACCAAAATTAATAAGAAAAAGTTTTCCCGTTTTCCCGAGAAATTTTGGTGCAGTCGATTTTGGTGGTCGAAAAAAAGGAAGGTTATACACTGCCTTTTTTTGAGGCCCGAAAAAAAATTGTCTCAGATCGACCCGGAAAAAAATTTTCTTATAGAATGTGGCCTGTAGAATCCATAATTTCAAACAGTTCCAAGATTGGGCTACTAGTTCAAAAGTTACAGCCCTTTGAAAAATTGGTTTCTAATAACTTTTGATTGAGAAGTCTGATCGAAAAAGTACGAATTGTTTTGGATTCTACGCAACAAAATTAATAAGAAAAAGTGTTTTCCCGAGAAATTTTGGTGCAGTCGATTTTTTGTAAAAAAAAAGGAAGGTTATACCACTACCTTTTTTGAGCCCCGAAAAAAAATTGTCTCAGATCGACCCGGAAAAAAAATTTTCTTATAAAATGTGGCCTGTAGAATCCGTAATTTCAAACAGTTCCATAATTACCATTTTATCAGTCTCTAGTAGCTGCTCCTTGGGTTTACTTAATTACAGTGATATTATCTGTGCAGCCCGTCTCGCTCTCACTTGTGCAAACATTATATATGAAATATGGCATCTTTATTGTTTTACTTGCTTACTCGCTTCAACGTTTTGCTTTTCTTCTTCTTGAAATGAATAATTTGCCATTTTTTAAGAGAAGAGTTGCTGTTTTGGCAAGTCCTAAGGTATTACTTCGTCCAGAAAATCCCTATGCTATACGATCTTGCACCATTAAACAAGACCCCGTCGAAGTTATATAACTGGGGGTAACCCCCAGATCAAGACCTTACACTGCAAAAACAAGTTACGCAATCTCTTTTTTATTGTTGCCTTTGACAAGCTCTTGCATTCAGTTTAACTAAATCTGACACAATTAATAATGGATTGAATTAGTTTAATATTCTTGAAAATATAAATACTGTCGCACAATGGCGCTGTCATAGGGAACTAGGTTGGAAATGCAAATTATTCTAGAATTTTGTCTCTGTAAATCACATAGTAAATACAATTTCGCGGAATATGATCCCAATTTTAAATCAATTATTTATTTATTTTTAGTTTGACAAGGTCTTTCTTCCACATTACAGACAACTTTATCCAAACTTTTATGAACGGAAAGGGTAAATGTTCACAATTTTTTAGTTTTAACTGAAACACTCTGAGCAGAGGTAGAAAAATGTAGAAATTGTTCTGAAATGATAAAAGTCATTGCCTCATTCCTTTATTTATGATGAAAAGGACCATCGAATTTACATCAGCAGCACAAAATGATGCGGCTGGAAGGGTATGTCTGAATTTTTGCTTCAATGTGCATTGAGAATGGACTGCTGTTGTAGAAGATTGGTGTAAAGTACCGAAACCTTCGCAATCAATTGGTATTTCGTACTGGGAAAGTAAGTAGTAATCTCAAGAAATGGTACCGAAGGTTGTATGCACTTGAAGGATTAAGTGAAAAATCATTCAGGGTGGGAATAAACGTAATAAAATAGAAGTAATTAGGCCCAAAATTATTGTAAGGAAACCTTACGTCATATCCTTCTCGATAGCTGATCATAGCGTCGGCGTCGGCTGGTGTAAACGGTGATTTCTTCATTACGTGCTTGAAATAAAGCCACACAAGCAGAAGAACAAAATTTTATGTCGCACCTTTTACGTTGCACAAAACTCTTAATCGCACTGAAGCACGGGTAATAATCGACGTAAGTACACTAGGAACACATACATTAAATCAGGATTTAACATCGCGTAATGCGGACGTACTCATAAGTAAAAGACGAACGCGATGACCTAAGACCGGTCCCTTACAGCTTTGGGGAATGTTAATCTTCTTTGCAGCCGCTTCAGCTAACGAACACACGGCCATCCTGACACTACCATAAGAATTCTTTTTCATCACCTGAAATATATATGTAATTAAACAGAAAAAACATCGATCCGTCGGTTGTGTATCGCTTATACGGCAGCTTTTAAAACCATTAATTAGATTTTTTCCATTTAAACCTCTTTAATTAAGTGAAAAACGAGAAAAAAAAGCAGAAACGAAACCTGTTTTTCAATCAGAAGTCGAAAAGTGGTTTAATTTACTATACTAAAATGTAAAACCGATAATTAATTATAGTGGCTCGACAATAGATTTACTTTCCGCACTTTGTCACAGATGACGCTAACTGCATTAAAACGTACATTAAATCGAAAGCATCCGATTTTGTTCGCAAATTGGGGGACCTCAATGCCCTAAATTTATTACTTTAACACGCACTGAGTAAATTCGGCCTGTTTAGTTTATTGTTACAATTTTTGTAAATAAATCTTATTGCTTATGGGGTGTATTCTGTTATCGATTACTCTTTTCTCTGTATGTAAGTTGCTTTGTTCTTACAGACCAGATATATGTACCGAAAAACTACAAAGCTGTCCCTTACAATTTTCAGTTTATCCAAAAGAATGATGGCGTAACGCATACTTTTATACAGCTCGCAACATGTAATCAATGTCTCTAAAATATTTAAGTTTGGGGTAAATTTGATATAAATCACCATACGCCTTAACAGAACGGCGGTGCTTCCTTAAAAAATTTATTACCGTGGGCAATGTAAGCAAAGCAATCCCACGATTTTTATGATTTGCGTAAATAAGACATATTTCTTACCCGATATGAACACCAGTTCATATTCAGGAATCATAAAAACTACATTTTCAAATGGTTTCAAATCTGTATACACTGCAAAGATTTGTAAGGGATGATAACCCCAAAAAATTTAAATTGTAACCCCTGTGAAGTTTCACCGTATCGTAAAGGTAATTAAAATTTAAAATAAGGTGAAACTCGAAATGGGTTGCAATTTACAAATTTTTGGCTTATCACCCTCTGTATATGACTCTTTACTGACCCTTAAATTCTCTTCACTCCTTTGTAACTTATTGCTCCAACCTCGAGGATTTTGGAGATTCACTTGCGCAAACCTGAGACATCTGAGTGTTTCCTCATTGTCCATAATTAGTGTTCGCGATCTGAAGGTCTACGTGCTCCAGATAACAAATGCAGCTCGAGGCTGAGGCCATATGCTTAATAAAATCGCTCTTATGCCGTAGCCTTATGCAATTTGTACAGGAGGGCTCCTGTTGGAGCTCATGGCAGGCCTCGCTGGCATGACTACCTGCGCAGTGCCCGCATTGAAATTTACTACGGCAGTAGGAAGAGTTATGGCCAATTTTTTGGCACTTAAAGCACCGCACAATCCCGATATGGTCTTGATGGCCGGCATTCCACCCCCCGACGCATACACGACGGGTATCGGAGAGATGATTGCGTACGCCACCGTATCCAGTGACACGTACTCCTTTCACGCGGACCAAACCGGAACATTGTCACGATTTATTCTTGACTTTAGCTTTGTTTACGATTTACTCCTTGTCGAAGAACTGCCGTTACATTTGAAGCGGTCTGATGATGGCTCCACCTACTGATGGAATTTAACCACGCAAATTTTCTGCGTCAAGGTGACAACGTATTTTTCGGAAATCGCTATTCCTTTTTTTTACACGTGATACGCCATTTCACTAACGCTTCTTTATCTTGGAGCATTTTCTTTTAAACATCTGATATCTGACGCTTGTGCCGACGTAATTTAATTGTTTGCATCGTTATTCGTATTAATTGGTGTCTACGTCCTCTCAATAACTTAGAGGTATTAAGACGGCTATTGTATGTAATATTTGTACAGACTGTCTCCCTCTCAACAAAACCAGCCCAGCTTGAGGGTGTTAAAATTAGCCGGGTGTTTCCGTGCGAAGGTATCAATTTAATTGGGCGCAATACCTGTGCCACCAACCATCTGGACACTTGGGCAATATCCATACAACTGGATTTACCCTGAAACATCTAACCAGTCAGGGAATACCGTTCTTTACTTCTGGGTGTTATAAAGCTTATCGTTAAATACCCCTTAAATGTCTGCATTGTTATTGTTAAGGTAACTTGGTCAATAATATACCGTAATTCCTACCAATTCATGATGGGACTTGAACGCGGTAGTTGCATTGGTGTTTTCTGTGGGTAGCTATCCTTTTCTACACAGATTGCTTATGTTTTCGATCCTGTCAAGGAATATGCAAAACGCTTCCGGTATTAATTAGTTAACCACGGTCCACCGAGTAAGGTGCATGAATTTCTTTTGCTACAGGGCCGGACTCGCTACAGGAGAGCTCTCTACAGCAACCGAGTTTTTATCAAGGTAGGATTGTTACGATTCCATGTGAGTACTTTTGCTTTCAGTATCGAAACAATTATTGATATTTCATTTTGATTTTGGAAATCTTTTGTTATTGATACAGTCAATTAGTTACTAATCGATCATTCTCGACTGAGGGTTTGGTTAATTGGGGAATTTTATTTGCACATTGAATTTACTAAGAGTTTTAAGTCACGTGATTAATAATTTTGAGCATTTGGAAAAATATGTTGTATTTGTGGGTATCCAATTATGGGGTTTTGAGCATTTACTGATTGAATAAACCAGTATTTCTTTTGGTACCTAAATTGACTGAATCTATACTAATTTTTGTTATTACATTCAAATGTACAATCCGACATATTAAGTGTGCTGACATGGAGCAATGGCATACTACTTGAACTACATGGATATGGTTAAGGTTAAGCTCTGTACTTTTGCCAGAGCTTCCCACATGTTCGGCTCGAGAGCGATTTCCAAGGGCTTCCGCATTTATAGGCGTCATCCATGCATTTTGAACGTTACAGGGAAAAAAGTGCTTTCCATACAAGAAAGTAAGGAAACGCCAATTTTGGGATGTTTTGGGAAATAGTACTCGAAGAAAAGTTTTGGTCCTTCTACAACCCAATCGTTTTGATACACTAGGACATAGGTTGCAATACTGTTCACCTTTAACGCCTTAAGTATCATAATTGTATTAGTAAGGGTGACCTTATTTAAATATACTTAAAAAGGCCTTTTCCAACAATTGACAACTCTAACGCATTATTTATTGATAAAACGTAAGTAAATAAATTGCTAACTGAAACAATTAGTACAACTAAGTAAGTCAATTTCAATGGGAAACATTTGACGTACGACTTCATTATAGACCAATTTCACGTATCTACTTAATCATTGAGATTAATTACACACCACTTCCAACTTGAAGCAATTCAAATAGATTCAATACGTGTTGATATACAACCCCCTAAATTACACAACTCGCAAACAGGAAGTTTTATGTAATCCAACGTATAATTACACCCTTTTCGTTATTATATAATTAAGGAACAAAATTAGCTTTAAGAATTGGAGAATTTCACAGCTTTGCCATAAGTAATGATTTTCAGTAGAAGTTCAGCAATGTTTGGTGAAATATGTGTTTTACAGTACTTGAACAACAAATGTAAATTCCCCATGGTACTGTATAGGAGCTAGCTGTGGCTAACAGTAATTACAGTAAACCGCATGACATCAATCTTGCCATAGTGCATCTGCCGTATAATTATTGTTATTAAACCGCTAAAGTGGTAGCCTTTATGTAAGTGTAACAATTTATTTTACTATCGCATTTATTTTTTTCCCATTGCATTAATTGAAATTTCTGTACGTAGGCGCCATAAATTTTCTTTAAAAGGTGTTAACGTTTCCGCTTTATCGGTATCAAAGTATGCGTTATACATTATGGCGATAGCTTTACGTATGAAACCAGTAGTTATTAACTAAGTAATTAACCAGAAATTTATATACCGTCGCGAGAGGAATTTTTAGCGTGTGAATAATTGTACGTCAGGCACTGGTTCCTTTACACTTTATAGGAAAGAATTTTTAGACACTTTGGGGTATGAAATAAATTAACTTCTTATCAAATGGAGAATAATATTTTGTTCTTCGGGTAAGCATTATTTATTTATTTATTTATTATCCCTCTCTTCTTCTGGGCTCTCAACAGGCTTACGCACAATTACAGAGTGACCCGCATAATAATTTTAGCGGTGCCTCTGCAGAAGGTCTTAAATTGTTTTATACCTACTACTCCGATATTAACTTACGAATTAGGAAAACTGCAAGAAAATATCAATGTCCAAGACAGGAATTTAATATGGAAGGAAGTTATATAGGTTAAAATAACTGGTCGTTAAAAAAGTGATGGTAATACTCGGTGTATTCTTCCTGAAGCTAAGTTGTGATGAACAAGACGAGTAGACACCTTAAGCATACCATCAGCCTTTCTTCTACCTTTTTCTCTTACAGACTATAACAAACAATGAAATTTACCACGAGTCATTCTGAAGTAATTAAAACACCTTTTTCGTCGTTCGTTGAATCAGAAAATAAATGAAAACATTTCTTCTTCTGAATATTTTGTGAACCCAGGCTCGTTTACGTTACCTCGCTTTTTTAAACTGTTCTTCTTCCAGAAGGAAGACTATTTCTTTACCGCTCGAAGACATTTTAAAACTAAACTGAATTTCTTCCTGCGATTCCGATAACTTATGTCCGGTACCCTATTAAAAAAAAATCCGTAGAATACCGTTCGTACCGTACATCCGATGTCGCATTTACGCCGGATGATAAGAATTATTTAACTTGAGGTAATTAACTTCAGTTAAATTTAATTTGCTTAATCGATCGCTTGTTGCGTGGTGTTTTTTATATGGCCCTGAATGCCGATTTGAGTAATTCATTTTGAATAAATTTCTTTAACTTGCAAATGGTTAACTATTGTATCTAATTGAGCCCAAATCTCGACCTAGATAAAAGTTCTCATGATAATTTTTTTTTAATTTCGTACCCAGATCTCCGCAATTACATCAGGTGTTAATTAAAAATTTGTTAATTGACTCTTTGGCATTTTTGGGGCAGTTACGGCTGCTGAATTACTCATATTAATAACATTTACGTCAATATTGAGAATTTCGTCGTGCACAGAAAAATAATTATT